TCGACCGACTTCCTCGAAGGGCTCTTTTCGCCCAACCACGTGAAGGGTGGAAGAGAGCCAGAGGCTGTCAAACAATGACTTGTCAGCGAAGTATGAAGGCCATTACCAGAAAACTCAGCTGCGCTGGTCACTGCCGTCTTCCTGGATGGGGACCTCGAGACGGGCCACATTATTGGCTACAGACATTATTAGATATGGCCCAGTGGCGCTCGTGCATCAAAGCTATTGCCTTCAATGCATAGCTCCTTTTCCCCCCCCCCCCCGCTTGACAACCCACTGACAGTGCTGGATTTATGCACCAATTTACCAGCTCGCGCGTGCAATGCGAAGTTACCTACCCCCCAATCATCGGTGAACGAAACTGCGGCAGCTACAACCAGTGTACGACGAGTACGCGGTTCTTACAGCTGACAATGATGATGATGATGATGACTGACCGGGAAGCCAACGTTCACTGGACTGCGAAAGACAGAAATCCAAAGGCACCTCCATTCTAAATATCTTCATTTTCCCTTAAACTCCATTGTTTCGATTCATCTGTTTCACCCCTGTTCATTGGTACCAGCGGATTATCTGTAAAAGTGCTTCGTATGGAATCTCTCATGGACTGTGACATTGCCAACGGCAATAGGTTTTCCAATTAACTATCGAAAAACTTCCATTCTCATGTCTGGAAATTCGAAGTTTCAAACCTCATTTGTTCTGGATTTAAATGCTGAGGTATTACTGCCAGATCGAGTGGGGACTCTTCAAGCTGTTCTCTACAATCTGAAGAATGTTTTTTTGGCAGTGTTATCCGCACTGCCCTTCACAATAGTATATGGGTGTCCCTTCAGTACAGACATTTCACGGACTCAAAATAGTTCCAGATGGATGTTGGCCAAAAACCTCCGAGTGCACAGTACTTCGCCTCGTCGGTTATCGTAGCTAAAGGACAACGTAATGGGGGTACTGCTGCCCTTCTGGTAGCCTATATTGTTACAGAGATGACATCCCGAATGAAATATCTTTACAGTTGTAAGGAACTTTCCAATTGTCTGTCATGTAGGTAACAAAAACAACTTTAGCTACAGCATCCATTCGGTGCCTAGCTGCCGTGCCAACCGAGAAGACCACGAATTGTCTGTCATGTAGGTAACAAAAACAACTTTAGCTACAGCATCCATTCGGTGCCTAGCTGCCGTGCCAACCGAAGAAGACACGAGAGCTTGATTGCTCAGTTTGCCCAAGCCCAGACAAGAGCAGTCGAGGTGCTAAGGACCTTCCGGGTCATAATCCGGCGTATTTCCAAGCAGTGGGGAGGTCACACGGCCAAGGTGGATTATGCCGCCTAAGTTTTCTGTGGATTCGATTTTTGGAGACTGATGAGAACCAAAATCCATTTCATCCCTCAAAACTTTATATTTTGACTCAGTATCCTCCAGAGTCCCGCCATCTCTGACGCATATCCTCAAAGAAGTTGGCACTAATTTGCCTTCTTTTGTTGACTATAAGGTCCACTCAGGGCGTCCTGGATGTTCACGTCTCCAGAAGTTTTTTAGACCCTGATACCTACTCCTCTTCCAGTTAAACGACAGAGTGTGGCCTAGCTGATGTACCTTTGGTTATCAACCCTCGAGGAGCTGAAGCACTCTCGGTCTGAGCACTTCAATCCTGTATGCAGTACATTCCATAGCATCTGGTTTTTATTTAGCTTTTGCCTGTCATGAGGTTTACAATTTGCTTCACTAAGGATGTTACTTGAATCAGGGGCTTGAAGAGGTGGATCACTTACTCGCGAGCTTGGGGACGGCCGAAAACTTGTCCTGGTACCCATTTACCAATACGATTCGTCACTTTCCGATACGGTGTTATTGTTTGACCGTCTCATCTGTAATACATGCTAATCTCAATATATGGCAAGCGTGGCTTTAGAAGTGACGTCTTCACTTACCAAAAGCACAAAGGTCTTTTCCCTCGAGTGCATGTACGAGGGCACCGGGGCCAAATCCAAGTTGTGTTCCGGCGATGCAGGCACTTTGTTAATCCCTTCGAGGTTGTAGGAACAATCTTAGGGGGCTTATATTTCTTCCTCAAAGTTCCCAAGCCAAGATATCCGACATGCAACCACATTTTAAGCAGAGATATTGGGTTCTGAGCTCTCGTAGCTACCTTCATTATCAGCTCTGGATCTTTTCAGATTTGAAGTGTTACCAGTACCTGATCTAAACTTAAATCCGTGTCCACGATCTTGAGCTTACTCGCCAGATCTGTACTCTTCCTCCAAGGATGGACTTCGCTCATTTAGATCAAGATGTACTGGAATATGAGAGATATGCAGGGATCTGTCGAAGACCATCCACCATCAGCTTTATGAATTGGAATAAGGCGCAGAAGTGTTTGATGCACTAGCAGTGCACCCTAACCCTAAGTTTCGGGCATTCTCTGTGACATCACAAAACGGTGTATACCGCATATTCTAATTTCGGCCACCCCGGTTCCGCAAGACGGATCCCCAGAACAGTCGGCCTCACATGTCTTCTACCTAGGAATAGATCCTCACAAAGTAAAACGAGTAATGCTACACATATAAAGAACACTGAGGGTGATTTACCATCACTGGATCCTAATTCAGGTGTAGAAAGCGGGCGTGTAAATAAAATTAATAAATCGTTCAGCTGTAACACCCTTCCGGTGCCTAGCTGTGGTGCAACCTGAAGGAAGCATGAGGGCTGGGATACTACCAGGTTGCCCAAGTCTAGACAGGGAAGTCGAGAGGTAGAGGTCGGGTTCAAACCACGGACCTTATGGCCAGTAAATTCGAGGCACCTCGCCCTCGTGTAGTGACTGGGATAAATATTCCGAACTCCATTTTGCTGCATCACCCTAGAGAGTTGCTGTGGAACTCTAGTCCAGCAAGTGTTTTAATTTTCTGACGGTGTCAGCTTGAACAATCTATCCGGAAAGTTTGTTTCGGTTCGCCGTCAGGAGTCCCAAAATCCGATGAGTGTGAAGTAGGCCAACCACTGGCTACACGTCAAGCATGCGCTCTTGACTCTTCGAGTGGGGCATTTCAGAGAAGCTTTTGTAGAAGCTGTCGGTCCCAAATTTGTTTGATCAGTTTGAAACAAGATCAAGTCCTTTTTCCATGAAAGAAACAACTCACAAGGTTGACAAAAACCGATTCACAGCAAAAGACGAGTTTCGCCTTCTTGGGGCTCATTAGGTGGATACACTTCCCGAGTTTTCGCCGATCTTATCTCATTTGTACCCGGATGGGGCTGATTTCATTAAATGCAAGCATTTATTGTATCAATCTGTTGCCCCATTCCCTAAGGATCATATAGCAGCCAGTCTACATATACCAGCTTCGAAGGCCATCGACCTGAAGCTACTGTTTTTGTAGCACAGTATTTGGCCGCCTTCTAGTTCAAGTAAAGCATAAGGCTGACGGAAACTCCGGGGCTGGGCCTACATGATGAGCCCCAGGAAGGGTGAAACCGATCGTGGTCTGTCGAAGAGTTCGCAGTAAACTTGTGAGTAGTTTACTTTGAGAAAATATACTGCGACATCCCGAATATCGTACTAACTGAAACATCAAGCTTTTTTTTGTGCAACACATTCAATCGATCAATATCATAAACGAGAGATTCGTTTGGGTTTCCCTTGAAACCTTGATGGATATGCAAATTAATGTATTTGTCGAAGATCAAGTCTACTCTGCGGTGACTGTAATCTGGGATTTGCTATTCGAGCAAGTATGATTACTCCATCAAACTGTAACAAGTCGCGTCTCTACCAGCAGTATTTGTTCCGGGTCACGTTGCTCCCTTCCGTACGTGAACAATCAGTCGGCTGCCTGTATCCGATTACTGGTCAAATGAACGCAACACTCAGCATTCAAAAAGCATTGATCTCCATGCCTGGAGAGTCCATATTATCTTCTGAAAAACCCTGTGACCTTCTAATTTTGCCAGATTCTCACGAGGATTGGTCTTGAGATCTCATTCTAGATTAGAGTGTGGGCTCGCCTATGGTTTGCGTATCCAGCCCGCTCCTTGGATCAAGCACCATAACCCGAGCTGTTGAAATTGACCGCCAGTTTGCATCCTTCACTCAACTGCAGCAGATTATCCATTTTCGACCACCTTCCATAGCTTCCAGGGAAAAAACAACGCTAGAAACTCGGAACTTACTGCGAGCTTGCGGTATTTCTAAGCCTAGAGTTGACAGTATCGTACGTTAAAGACAAACTCGATCCTACTATTTGCAGATAAATTCCCAAGTTAATCTGCATCTGTACCTCTTCATTAAGAAGCTACATAGTCGCTATCCGACGGTTCAAGATCAAATCGCATGATGGACCTTGTATTCTAATCAAATCTCCCAAGTTCTGAAAACGAAAGCATGGGATAACTCGATTGACTTCCCCATAAACTGTATGTGCGCAAAAGTGTGACACTCTGAACTTACACCACCGTGAATCGCGACTTAATTGAAAAATCGCCGACCTTCGTTTAGGTTGCTCGTACGTTTAAACTCCAAGTGGTTCGGTGAGTTCATGAGGTTTCGCGGGGTACTGTGGGACCATCAAACCGGTGGGTTTCGAATGGCCCTCGTTTAGCCACGTGGATGTGAGATCGATAGTAAAAATACATGAGTGGTGCTGGTGCGGCCTTCATTCATGTTGTTTGGACTATGTCTAAATAATGTTCACCGATTTACGGATTCACCATTGACACAGGAGCGAGGTTTTTGCCCAAGATTCCCAGGTCGGTTTTGTTATTGTCGGTAAGTGGCTATCGCTTACCTGGAAGGCACAAGTGAAAAAAGGGCGTAGCACTGCTCCTTATGTTCTCAGCGCGGGGCAGTATGCTTGCCAGCGCGAGGAGTCGCATAAATAAATGTCTAATATTTTCTTACTATGTCCTCGCCGGGTGTTTGCTGGGTCAACGGTAAAAAACCTGTTTGCCAAGCTTTGTTCAAACAGGGCGTAGGTAAGAATTGGGTCCCCTCGGAGGCGACGGTACTCCATGGGAAAGAGATCAAGCATCGCGAGACGCGTTTCGTAGTCCACGGATTTGAGGCCGGCAACCATTCTCGTGGCGGCCCGCTGGACACGCTCAATGAGGGTAACGTCTTTCGTACGTCCTGAGTAGACAACTTGGTTGGCGTACTCCAGGAGCGGTCTGACGTAGGCCCCATAGAGTATTTGGAAGTCCATGCGAGTAATACGGGAGAAGGTGCGCCGGATCATCCGTAAAATGGCGAATGCCTTTTGGGCGGATTTCTCATGGTGCAGTGAGAAGGACAATTTTGAGGAGACCCATACGCCCAAATCCTTTTCGGCATCTATCCTCATGATGTTTTCTTGTCCTTTCTCGCGGACTGATACACAGGATCCAGGGTTTCGCCCGAGTTTCCCATGCCGGTTTTGTTCTTGTCGTCTAGCCGCCGTCGTTCCCCTGAAAGACAAGTGGAAAAGTGTGTAGCACCGCTGTTTATTTTCTTAGCGCGGGGCGGTGTGCTTTCCAGCGAGAGGACTCAAATGATAAGTGTATAATAGTGCCTTGAACCGGGTTCTAGAAGGAGCGTGGACAAAAGTCAGAGGAAGGTTATTCCACGCAGCTACCACCCGAAATGAGTAGAACTGTACACCATGAGTTTGAAAATTTTTACCATGTCCCCACCTTGTATTTCCCGGGTCGTCGATGAATGCCCTGCTTGTTAAGCCTGGTCCATACAGAGTAAGTAAGAATTGGGTCCCTTCGGGGGCGACAATACTCCACGGCAAAGGGTTTCAGCGCCGCGAGACGCGTTTCGTAGACCACGGATCTGAGGCCGGCAAACAGTTCGTAGTACTCCGCTGGACACGCCCAATGAGAGTTACGTCTGTCGTGCGTACTGTGTAAGTAGCCTGGTTGGCGTATTCTTGGAGCAGTCTAACGTAGGCCCCATAGAGCATTTGGAAGTGCACGCGAGCAATGCGGGAGTAGGTTCATTGAATCATCCTTAGAAAGACCGATGCCCTTTGAGGCAATTTCTTACGGTGACGTCCTTTTTGGTATCAATCCTCGCAGTGCACCCGGATCCGTGTTTGAAAGAGGTATTCGCTGACTTGCCTCCGACTGACATAAACACGCACTTTCGTCACTCGAAAGAAGACGCCAGTTTACTGGCCACTGCCTTGCGGAGTCTTTATCCATTTTGTGGGTGCTGGAATATGAACCTCAGTATTACAAGTCACCCGCAAATGTGTACATGAACTTCAGGCACACCTGGGACGAGGTTGACGTAGATCAGATGCAGACGTGGTCATAGAACAGAGCCTCGGGGAACTCTGATGAAGCCCGGCATTAGGTGGGTGTCAAGACTAATCATACATGTTTGGAAAAATAAAATTTACCCATCTCTTTTTCCACTGTCTAGCGTTTTACCAATTTTTGCTTCCCGCGTTTTCACCCATCTTAGTTTCTTGCCAGTTTTATTTTATTCTTTTGGTCCTGATACTTGGACACGGAAACAAATAGTGGACAGCGGTAGAGGACAACCCTAGCAGTAGCATTGTTGTGCCATGCTTCTCACCGTGCGACTGTCCAATAAGCAGATAGAACTATCTTGTGTCGGAAACCAGTACCCACACTGAACCATCGGGCGAATGGGAGCATAATTTACCCAAAGCATATCTAGTGGTATCATTCTGAAGGGCAATGCTTCAGCCAAAATAGCTTTCTAGGCCGTTTTGGTCCTTAACGAAAATAATGTTCGCTGCATAGTAACCAGACACATTGTCTGTTTACAGTGGGAAGATGACCCCTTAATGTGGCTTGCATCGTTTTGTCGAAGAGATTTCAACTATAGGAAGTGATTTGATTTTGCTTTTAAATACTCTGATAGAAGATCATCGTAAAGTGGCGTCAGTGCCTGTGGCTTTTTACTCGAGATACAATCCGGAGTGTTTGAATGAATAGTGAAACCAATGGATAAACACCTAGTTTCGTTATTTTTTATCGCTGTAAGCGTGAAATTTTCTATTAAATCGCCTTGAATATCGCGTCTAGCACGACTTCTTCATGAGACGTTATTGTTGTGGGCAGTTGTGTGACCTCGGGTAGATCAGCAGTTTAGCTGACATGTCGACGTTAGGAGAAGATAAAACCCCATAGATTCGCTGCTGGTGACCAAAGCCAATCCAGACGGCAGCGCTTCCCGTTTGCGTACACATTATGCCGATCTTTCCGCTCACTTGTGTCCATTGTATTTTAGGGAGAATCTTTTCCATTTTGACGTCAAACAGTCCTGCGGTCTCCCTTGCCTTGTATAGATAGGACCAGTATTCGTCATCAAGGTAAGTTCTCACGCCTCCTTGACATCTTTGACGCTATACTGAGCTGTTGTGAGACACTTAGGATGACAGTGTTATAGGACGCCAAAATGTGGAGTGGCAAGTTCGCCATTGCAATGACTGAAGATCGAGCGTCATCTTGTGCAAAAACGTGGGTCCATATCCATCGCCGAAACGGGGGACCGAATAAGACAGCAGCCCTCAGGGCCACTGAAACGGAAGCTTGAACGAGTACCCACAGTCTTAGCTATTCCTGATATAAGCTACTCGGTTAATGATTACTTTTGATCCAGCTTCTGGCGTGTTTGGCGACCCTCCACTAGAGTGACTCGAATAAATATACCCTTTTAAAATCGGCTGGCAGTCACAGTTCCTTCATGAGGACCATCGTTGGGCAGCTACCAAGTTATAGGCCTTCCTTTGCAAGATCACAGCGTATATCGGTGTCTTGTCGATTTAATGTTACAAGGGGGCCACGACCTGGAATAACGCATATCCACAGATGTTCCTCCCCAAACTATGTATAAGAGATGCACTTTGAAGTAAGAGAGGAATAAATGCCGGTGGCGAGCATGTGTGTGTGAATGTTCTCATATTGCAGAGCCTGCTTTCGCCTGCATTTGCAACCACGAACAAATTTTTCATCCCACCTTATCAGCCTCTATGACGAGTTCGTCCCAACTTGCTGAACCTTTCGTTTGGATCAACCTAACTTGGCTTCCTGCTGCAATTTCGGTTTGTCTCTCCCACAACTTCAGCGGTTTCATTTACGGTGTTAGTTCGGGTATACGCGTTGGCACTATCTCCACATCCAAAATATCTTTTACACTTGACTGTCCCACAATAGTGACACCGGCGAATATGTTTAGTTTCAGCGAAAACCATGTCTTCAAGTTGAAACCTGCCATTTGCCTCCATGTCGAACCCTATTACTTCTGTTCCAATTTTTGCTTTATGTGACCCTGGACATTTAGTGAACCACTCAGGATCACTCGGGGCTACCAATGATTTTACAGTATTAGTTCAAGTCATCTGGCTTCCTCATTGAACTAAATTTACCTATGCAGTGTCTACCTAATTTTAGGGTTTTTACAACTACGGTGAATTTACACGTAGTAAGTCCGTCTAGTTGGTTCTACTTTCCTCCCATTGCGTTGTTGCCGGCCGCGTTCAGGATGTAACGACTCAATCATGCTTCAGTTTGCGCGTTCTCCACAAGTTGGGAAATGAAATTTATTATTATATTAGCTCTCAAAAGGTAGAGGTAAGATGTCCTGACAAGATGGCTGGCACTCTGGTCTTCACTACATAGTTTCATTGAAGTCGGGAGTAATTTAGGCCCACCAGAAGGGTTTGAGAGCTTATGTCGAGCTCAGAATCGCCCAAGAAAAAGGGTTACGCTTGCTCGCAACGCAAGGAAGCACTTCGTTGGATAGCTTTGGATTCTGTGGCCGGGCATTCAATCGGTATTTGGAGAGAAAAGTTTAACCCAATAACTTCGTGATCAACTGAGCCAAACATTTTTGGAACATTAAATTATTTGATGTAGACGACAAATTAAAAACCATTGGTGTGAATGAGTAGCACGCTAGGTCTGCTGCGTGTAAGATGTCTTAATGAATGTCGTGGTGTACACTGCTGAAAGACTGGCGCCTGGTAGAACCTGGTTTTTGGATTCGGCGGCACGAAATTATGGCGCATTTGCCACCTCCCTGCTCACGACTGCTCTATTTTAGCCTTGAACCTGTAGCAATTAGACAGTCGTTTAATTTTAGTGGAATGTCCCTGGATTTTAGCTTATATGTATACCTAGGGAGTGGCTCTTCGGAGAAGTCATACAGTTTCTCAGTGGAAACCTTGGGTATTGCAACAAAAACGGCTGACATTTATTTATTTATCCTTAGCTGCCCCCATTATGGATATCTGGTTGTTTGTTAAAAGTGAATAGTGATTACTTAATAATGTGGTTAATTAGAACTGAGTTGGGGTTGCAAGACATTTTTCAAGCAGCAAACTATTCTTACTTGCCCTCTTTAAGCCGTTTGTAGGACAGCTTTTGGGAGTTATTCCTGGATTTTCTTCCCAGGTATACCTGAAATCTGTGAAGAGTGTACAACACTCATTTACTAAATCTTACTAAATCATTTACTAAATCGTCCTCCGCAATACCACACTGTCTTTGCTGTTTGTCATTTTGGCTGGCTCCTTTTGGCTGAGATGCACGAGGTTGACCTAGGCCATTTGCGACGCCTGAGCCACCGACGGACTTACACAGCTGCCTCCCGCTCTGAGTGTACCCAGAGCCTTCCCCGTAATATCTCTAACGTTGAAATTTTATTTCACAACGAAACATTTTCCTCCACCTGTCTTTCCAACTTTAGATAATGTCTGTACTATACCCTCTGACGTGGGCCTCCAAAACATTCTTGACTCTTACCATTCTATCAGAGGATCCAAGCCGCTTTTTGCGCCACAGCTCGCATTATAAATACTTGAAAGAGCTTCAAACGCGTATGGTTTGCGCTTTCAGCACAAAAATATAGTCAGTTAATTTGGCACGGTTGTTTAGCAGCACGGACTCCAGTTGAAGCCCAGTTATTGCTACCTGCCAATCTCCTGAGTGTATTTCAACTCTTAGGATTTCCATTGTAACTCCCCCTTTACTGGCAGATATGTTGCCGAAGGTGCCCGGCACTTGTTATCGCAACTGTCTTCATGCCCACTTCTACTTAACTTACCATACGTTCTGTTACGCTGCACCATTGTGCGTTCTAATGCGTGCCACAAACCCAGCATCACGTGGTTTTACTAATCGCGCGTAGTTCCATAGATAGCTTTTAATTTATAAAATCTACAAACCTTGTTTTCTGTCTACCGCTGCTAGCCTGGACCTATTCCGGTCGTCATTCATCCGGCAAAGTTACAAAATATAAGCAAAGAAAAACTGCTCTTAGTCTTATTGTTTTAGAAGGCACGCGGTGGACTAAAGGTATCCTGCGACTCTCACAACTAACATGCAAAGCTATTGCCACCTTCCAATTCGTTCTTGTTAAAACGTACCAAGTTCATCTCATCAACTAGACTTAAAACGTGCTAGCCCCATCTGTTCCAGAAAATTATCTCATTTATTTAAACATGAAGACCTTATCATTCCCTTGATACTGGCCTTGGCAGCTATCGCCAGATGATCATTTCTGCCAGGTACTACCAGTTGCTTGAAGCTGACAGCGGTGAATAAGCGATTACTGATTCAAACTTTTACATTTCTGTTTACCTCACGTAGTGACCTCCAGTTTTACTGCAGTTGATATCCATTAGTGCGAAAGTTATTGCTTGACCACCATGTATCTAAATACTCGCATTCTCTTCACATTAATTCCCGTTTGCACATCGGAGTCATTTTAATAGGACTTTGCAACGGAGCTAAAATTAACTCCCCAATCACCTTTTCTCATAATCGTCCTTACCAACAGGTTTAACGGTTGGTTTACGTTCACGTTACTTCGACTGACTTTCTTTTTTCAAAACTACATGACTACTGTCGCAGTGGTCTCACGCTCACAAAACGACTAGTGCTCAGCGCCAAACATAAAACACGCTACGAGTGACCCAGTTAAAGTGGTCTCACGCTCACAAAACGACTAGTGCTGAGCGCAAAACATAAAACACCAATTTTACTAATAAGGCTTACCTCTTGCATCGCTACGAGTGACCCAGTTAAAAGCCAGGCAGAAACACGCCTACAGTGGTGTGTCCTCTACCTCTTATCTTATCGGAAACCTCAGTCAGTCCACGGTTGGTGCGTTAGCCAAAAGGAATTTATCTTCAGTTGGATACTCTCAGTCTGTTTTTATTCACCTCGAAATTTTTTCTGCTTACGGACAATAGTTTATCCTATACCCTTCCACACTTATCGGGCTATGCTGATTTCAGCCCGTTCCTTCCTCTGTCCAAACACTAATTTTGAACATTTACTGCTTCGTGGCTCCGTTCTCCGTCCTCCAAAATCTGTAATTACTTATTAGGTAACGGTTATGTCTCCTTGATTTTAGATCCCTAATTGTTTTGTTGTTGTCTGCCATGTGTAAATTGTGGTTATTGATCGTGCTTAAATCTGTATGTTCTCCACAATTAGGGAAATTACCCTGTTATTATTCACGGCTAAGAAGCTATAATTAAAACGAGTTGTCTATGCTATTGGTGGCTTACCGAAGTCTAGAATTTGCCGCATCTTTGGACCGAATTCATCGCAGAACTCTGCGTTTGAGTGATGGTAAATACTTGGTGAGTGATGGAGAGGATCAACCACCCACATTCAATTGTGATTTAATTTAGCTTTTTCAACTAGAAAGGTGCAAATTAGCTACAATCTTTGGCGGCCTCAAAACTCTTTACCATGTGTTGACAATCATAGATTTTTATTTTGCTACAGCAGAGTGTAACATTACTGAAGCAACGTCTGCTCCACAGCAATGAAGCGTAATGATCGTGGCGTGGTAAATGGAGGTTTGAAATATGTTACATAGACTTAGTCAGTTGTACCAGGCAGAAAGGAAAGGTCGGCTGTATTGTTGTAGTGAAGCCTGTTAACATCCAACAGTTTAGTGGAGTTAGTAAAACTGTTGTGTTCAGTCATTTTTTCTCATTACGACTTTTGGTGGGAGCATCTTAAAATGCATACGTTTGACTTCATTTTGAAACTCCTATGCAGGTTAAACTACTTCATAAGACCATGCTACACTTTCAAGTTTCTACAAAAGTTTTAGCAGTTCCAGACCTACCCTGATGTTGGTTCGCATCAGCAACCAACCACATACTTTCTGCCGGAGAAATGTTCTCCGTATGGCCCTCGGGCCGGGATGATCAGTGTCAATATTTTCAACTGATTTTACCGTCGCCAAGCCATCTTTGCTATTAAAATTTTCTGATCTACCGATTCTCGTATTGGCGCGTGATGCTTTTCCATTACCGTCAAGGTAAGGTTTCGGTATAAGCAACAAGAAGACGGGATGTGTAATCAAAGGGAGCTTTCTGGTTACGCGTTCAAATGCTCCTGGTGTTTTTGTGCAGGGAATATCGATTACACATTACGATTTGTATATAGTTTCGGATAAGCTATTTATCCCGTCTGAGAAGCGGGTTACGGAAAGAAGCGTAACTGGTATGCTTACATCAATAATGTTCTTGCCATTAGCCCTGTGGCTGACAAATGTGCGCTATTTCGGTGGGATGTAAGTCTGTTCTGATATGAGAATGCGTGTCCCAAAGTTGTTTTCGGTCACGCGGCTTTTTGGACTGGATGCTTAACTTGAGCCAAAACCTGTTTGTAGGGGCCTAATAGCGTAGATTTATGTCTCGTGACGACCTACATTTATTGCAGATCATTGACGACTCAAGTGGTCTGGAAAGTGGTCAGGTTACTTTTATATAATTCTTACCACAAACTAAGTGAAGCGGTTATAGAAAGGCTTAAGGGGCTGCTCAACCTGAAGCGTGGTGGCTTCTTACCTGATTTTGGAGAAGATATGATTCCTTCTGTGTGCTGAATTCTCCTAACCGGTATTGAGTTCCCGATTGCATCTTTATTTATGAACATTTTCGGTGATCCCTCAAATCCAAGCTTACCCCGCATAATCCAACTCGCTAATGATCCGGGTCACAACAAGACCTACCGGGCCGGAAATTTGTCTGCTGGCGTGCTGCACAGCAGCAGGCCGTTTGCCCTGAAAGTACTGTTAGAATCTTCTGAGTCTTGTACTTGGCACGACGGCCCTGTTGAAGTAACATATCTTGCTTGAATTTACGTATGCCTGCATCATCTCAGGAACGTTTCCATACCTTGTGATCACAAAGGGTTTTGTACTGCATTTCGGATGCTATAATAGCACAAATATTTGGAACAGTGCCAGTAGTAACCCGGGTTGTTTATTTAGGAGAATTACCCGCCGTCGGATAGCACTAGTGGCCACCAATGATGTGCAAATACATTTGAAACATCCCCGGATATGGATGGCAAAATTCGCACGGTTTCGAGCATTATTCAGTCTGCAGAAAAATTTGATTAGTGTGGTGAAGATGTTTTGTCTGGCCAAATCGGGTCTGCGACATTGGTTAGAGTTGGCGCCACTTTCCCAGGCGTAAAATAAGAACGCTTTAGAACGGTAAAAGTTAGGAGTGGGTCGGCCTGTGTAGGTCTCTGTGAATAGGCCCGACTTCGGTTAAAATACTCTTTAAGGCGATTAGTGTTTATTCAGGGGTATTGCTTGTTTGTAGCCAACCAACGTGGTACTTTAAAGAAAATGAATTGAACAACGTATTAGTTCAATATTTCAAGGAATATCTGCAGCATTCACATATATACAGTGGTGCTTGCAGCGGAAAGGGAGGTTTGAAGAAAAGCAGTAACCTAGTAATTCAAGGGCTTTTGTGGCTTCGTGATGAAGACCATTTACTGGGTTTAATCAAAATTTTAATGATCATGTGCACTCTCAGGTGGCTTGTTGCATAATTTCAGGCATTACTCAATGATACAGCCAAAACGAAGTCACGATGGACGCTACATGCGAAGCCGAAGCAATGTGTGCAGGCTAGTAGTCACAGAAAATGAATATTGTCTAACATACAGGGTCTTACAAAAAATTTGCACGATCCATACGCAGAGGAAATCGCGGACGTTGAAACAGAAGTCGCAAGGGTATTAGGTCTTGAACGTGAGGTTAAGAGAAAATGCGAGATTGTGTGACGAAGCCAAGTGCAATAGAGCGTGCGGTGCTGCAAACTTCGTAGTTTTTAAATTAGCTGGCTACCATCAAAAAAAGGAATGTCGCTAAACTCCCGCAGTAGCTGCTCAAGTAACAGAGGGCAAGATGATGATGAGGAGCTACCTTCAGGCTGTGTGGCGTGGAAAGAGAATGTCCGACATGTTGGTGAGCAAAAAAACCGTCCGTTTTTAACTAGTCCAACAGCTAGCACCCTGCTATCTCCTTCGACGACAAAGTTTTCACCTTCTCAAAACTAGGCACTTACTCTGGCCCATCTAGTACTTGGCTTCTAGATCAGCAAACGTATTCACCTTTCTTGGGTCCATTACCTCTCTTTAGATTTTTTCTATCGACGCCGTTGTATATTATGCCTCCCAACACCCGCCACACGCTACTTCCTTCATTTTATTGCTTTCTTGTCGCGCCTCTTCTTAGCCTTCAATCGTCGACTGCAATTGTCCAAGCGCCCCTTAGAAATGTTATTCATTCAAACTGGTTGGTGCCTGGTCTAAACTCACACGGTCCTCCAACAAAAGGGAAACTATCCGTGAGCCTACCTTGGCATGATTCCCTGTGTCAATCCCCGTCTCATCCAGAACCAGCCGCCACGGAACGCCGCATACCATCTCCGACCGTTGACGACCGTTACGGGGTTGTCCATAAACCGAAGCATGTCAGTGCGGTGATGGCATTGCAGTGTCATATCCAATAAGATAGCACTCCCGCAACTATTTTCTCCAGAATCTCGACCACAACCCATAGCCCATTCAGGCCTGTAGCCACAACGTCGAGCAGTTCTCATCCAGCCGCGTCTCTGGGATGAGCTCTTCCTTACCCAATAAATTTTCGCCCTTATTTGGCTAGCCTGGCTTTTCTGCTGCAATTTTGGCTTGCCTGTTGCACAAGATCAAATCCGTAAACGGAGCTCACACCGCCCTACGCATTATCAACTTGCCCCCATCCAACCCATCCATCTGCATCTGACTTCACTACAACAGTGCAACCAGTGAGTCTTTACCTTCACATTAAACCACATTCGTTAGACAAAACTTAACATGCGCTCAGAATTTGGATTATCCCATCCCCATTTCCACTTTTGCTCGTTGGGACTCCGGCCATTTACCTAACCACCCAAGGTTAACCATGGCCAGCAATGGTTTTCAGTTTTGGTGCATCTCACCTGACTGTCTTCGAACTAGTCGGACCTCATGCCCACTGTTCCAACAAGTTGTGAAATAACCTACTATTACAATATCATCGGGTATTTCCAACTGACACTCTCCTGTTTTTATGTAATCCACACCCCCACAAATTCATCAGTCATGCTCCATTCTGACTGTAAAACTATGATCATGCCAGACGGTATGCCACCCACAAGTTGGGAATAAACCTTATTATTATTAATATAAACTGGATGAACTCGCGGGTTCTAAGGGGTGTCAATAATCGTTCGTTCGGCTTCTTAGACAGAAAATGTTTTAGCTAATCCACCGTTCATCCTCGGGTGTT